GTTACATTAGTTAACTTCCAATCCTCTGGTACCTGACCACTATTCAAGGACTGACAGAAAATAGTAGTAAGTGGCTCATATATCTAATCTTTAACCTCCTTCAAAACCCTTGCTCAGGAGCCTTATAATTTTTTAAACTTCCCAATTTCTTCTTAACCAGCTCAGAATTAATAGTCATCTTGTTTGATCTTGTTTCAATTTATCAACTGTTCAAGAGATAAAGAAGATATATATATTATGTCTGTTTGTTGTACAGTAATTTTTTATTTTATTTCTGGTGAGCATACACTATACGTTGAATTCAAAAAGTCAACTTTGAGTGAAGGTACAAAACCGAAGATAAGATTACTTGCATTTTATTCCATAATAAACACAGCTAAATCTAAAGATATGTTTGCATGTATCAGTAAAGACAAGACCTTACCATTTTTGATATGATTCTCCTCTTAATTTTTGTATGGTGGTATAGTTAATGGATTCAACAAAGAACCCCTTCATCAACCTACAAAAACAAACAAAAAAAGAAATTATGACACACATATATAATACAGTACAGCAATCTCAACTATATATGTACATCTTTTTACAAACTGCTTGAAGGCAAGGCCTGTCAGAGAAGTTCAGGGTCCCCCTCATATGTCTCCTATTTCATAATTTACTTTTCCAAATCTACTCCTACTCTTTTTACATATTCCCCTTTCCCATTCCACCTTCATCACTACCTCATTCTTTTACCATTACCAACCTTTCTGTTTCTTCCCACCAGGAACACCAATCTGATGGGTCCTGCTTGAAGATAAGGTAGCCAAATTGCTCATACTTTTTTTTGTTTTTCACTACTTTCTCTTCTGTTCTTATTTGTAGATTTTACTAATTAACAGCAATAAACTTACTGAGAATAGCTGTTGAAGCTATGAAACTGGTTATAGTTGAAGGGAATTATTTATTTTACATCGTTCTTTAAGTAAATATTTAATGTTATTATATATACGTGTGTGTGTATATATGTGATATTCTAAGCTCTAGTGTAATATTCAAATTTCTCTTTATGTCAGTAATTTGTGGTTAAGCAAAAAAAGACAATCCTCTATTTCATGCATTATAAAAATACAGTGGGAAAAATATTTTCTTTGAATTTCTTACTTAAATAGGTCTATATTGCATAAAAATATATGATTTTGTGAAATATATTCGGGTATGTTATAAAGGGGTACGTTACCTAAAAGTAACGTTGTTCAGTTGAGGAACCAACAAAAATGTTTCATGGTTTATCAAGACTGTTGCCTGGAAGTAAGAGTATTTAACTATAGTATTAACAGATTTGTATGTGCATTAAAACCAAAGATAGATTTGTTACCTGCATGTTAAAATGTACAATATGGGTTTAAATCTGACCATTGTGAATTACACTATGACAGACATAACAATCAGATATTAACATGTATGTCTCACACTCTAAAGTAATGAGCCCTGGTTTGGTACATTCGCTATAAATATATTACTGGAAAGAACTGGTAACTAGGGTCAGAAACTGTTTTTATTTATATATATATTTTTTTTTTAATATTTGACAAAATCTTAAAAAGTAGTTTGAAAGGTTCTCACCAATACTAAAGGTAATGATTTGAAGTTTGAAACCTATATTAAAATTTCATCTTGTGCAACTTTATTATTCCATAAGCTATAAATTTCATTTATCCATCTAACAAACACTGAAATTGTTTAAAGAACAGCACACACACACACCACATTTCAAGGCAAACCATTGTGCAAGTTTATAGCTTCATTTATCCATCTAACAAACACTGAAATTGTTTAAAGAACAGCACACACACCACATTTCAAGGCAAACCATTGTGCAAAGGTACAGTTTGATCTTCGTTGTTTTGGTAGGTGAAATGCCCTCCTGTCTCTTGAGATATTCTTATTATGTTTTGTTCTTTTATCAACGACAACAAGTAGTAATTCTTCATAATGACAATCCCCCCCCAAAAAAAATGTTTTTTTTTAGTTTGTTTAAGAACAAAACCAATCCTTCTCTGCATTTTACAAGTTACTAACATTATCATGAAGCATGTACCTAATTCTAATAGCAATACACTAGAAATGTTAAAAATTGTAAGATTTAAATCTAGTGTGTTTTTATTGGTTAGGAACAGCCTTGAAAAAAAGGCTGAACACTAGCTGGAACTACTGGCAAAAAGCCAACAAAACAGTATGCTTGAGTGAATGGTTCCTACACCTAGCACCGCATTAAGGTTAGATCAAACACCAGGCTAAAAAATATAAATATACACAGATATAAAAAAACTGATGTATACGACTTCTTTCTTATTGTTTTGATTTGTTCTTATTAAAATATATTTTAAGTTTTTCTCTACCATTTTCAAACTCTGGTGACAAAATGTAGAGACAAGTGGCAAAAGATATATATGAATTGAATGTTTTAAGGCTTGTGAATTCTACACAATAATAGAAATATAATACACGAATGTTTGTCTGCAGTGTGGTGTAACACCAATGTAACCTAGTACTCTACATGTATATTTTAGTCTTGTGGTTGTATAAAAATTATAAAGAACGGTTTGACAATTTCAAATTTGTTGAGAAATTAGGTAACGCAGTCGTCATTTGAATTTTTGTATAGATGGTCTGTCATTAAAACAAAGACTCAATTCTTTTTGAAATACTGTTGTGTTTACATAGGTTTACAACAACAGTAACAACAACTGCTACGTGTGTGTTGTACAACCATATATTCTTGTTGTATAGTGTGTGTTAACAAGAATATATGGTTGTACGTATATAGTGTGTGTTGTACAACCATATATTCTTGTTGTATATAGTGTGTGTTGTACAACCATATATTCTTGTTGTATATAGTGTGTTGTAAAACCATATATTCTTGTTGTATATAGTGTGTGTTGTACAACCATATCTTCTTGTTGTATATAGTGTGTGTTGTACAACCATATATTCTTGTTGTATATAGTGTGTGTTGTAAAACCATATATTCTTGTTGTATATAGTGTGTGTTGTACAACCATATATTCTTGTTGTATTGTCGGCATTATGTGTTTAGTGCCAATTTTTTGCTCATCCAACAATAATAAAATATGACCAAACTTTACTGGTTAAGTCAATAAGTCAGACCACATCCAAAAACAAATCTTTTCAAATTTATAGACTAGTTTCTCCAACTTCATAGACATCATCAGAGTGATGGACGGGATAGTCAGGACAATTATATAAAAGATGTTAAAGAAAACTGGAGTGTTACACTCCTTGTACAAAAAAACAACTACAAATATAAATGTATATCCAAGCATTATCTTTTTGTTGTTGTTTCTGTTCGTAATGGTGTCTCAAAAAGAGGCCAGAAAATACAGGGAATGGTATTTTTGATAGTCTTAACTTTTAAACTTTTTGGCTGAGCATGCCTCCAGAAGCCCCCTCCCCAAGAACCTGCTTGAAAACAAGTTGACCCTTTGGTCCAAGCCCCAAAAGGGTTACCCACCTACTTTAATAGTATCACCCATCTATTCTTAGAAATAATTAAAACCCTTAAAGTTGTCCTAAAAACCTACATATATACACCCTGTTAAGTTAATTGCTAAAAATTATAGATACATATGTACAAATTAACAATTTGATGTAAATCAAGTATTTATGGGGGAAGAAAGCCCTAGAAAAAGAACATCCCCTTCAAAGAAGAGATTTCATGCTTTAGTAAAGGTATGGCCATTAATATCAAGTTATCAAAATTATAATTTGAAATATTTAAAGATGACCTGAGCTTTACATATAATTTGTATAAATGAGTGATTTAGGTTTCAGAATAACTCACAATTTGCTAAATCATTATGGCTAAGCATACCAAGTTTCAACGTGTGCACTACACATTATATTTTTTTTTTACTAAAAGTGAAATATGGGAACCTGTGTTTCTTCTTCTTAAATGTGATGTAAAAACGTGCATAAATTCAACTGACACTGACAACATCTAGCTTGGATCATTTAAGAAACACACTACTGGAATTTTCAATATACAATCAAAGACTTTCATACATGTAACATATTTATCGTAGGACACCATATGTCACTCAACTAGAAAAAAAAGAAAAAAGACGATAAACTCCAAAACAGAAAGAACTACGGTGCTGTTTGTTTACCGAAGAAAAACAAAGTCTCTAACTCAGTCATGCTGTATACTTAGCCCTACTAATAGTTGTAGAGACAAGAAATAGTTTTATTTTATTGTTTGCAATTCCACTACTGCAGGTAGCCAAGTTACAGAAATTAATGTGTAGGGAAAATCATACGTAATGTGACATCAACAGTACAATTACAAAACAGCAGTAACATAGATATGTCTTTTGTTTTCAATAGAATTTTAATTAATATAAAGCTTTCTTCTACACTTAAGCAGAGTAGGCAAAGAGTTCCTTTATTTAATATTCAAAATATCAGAAATGTGGGGTCAATAACATTATGCTATAAACAATGTAGCTTTACAAATAATTAAAAAAAAAACACTTTTAAACTAATAATGGCTGGAGACGGCTTAAATGGGTAATGAAGAAAACTTTAATATAAGTTTAACATGACAGCAAATGTACAACGTTTCGACAAGGTTTTGGTACCTGATGATGACAAAACCTTGTCGAAACGTT